CCGCGGCACGTGGGATCCCCCCGGACCGGGGCACGAACCCGTGTCCCCTGCATCGGCAGGCAGACTCTCAACCACTGCGCCACCAGGGAAGCCCCAACTCGTCACCCTTCTTGTGACAGCATTGTTTTTTCCGAACCATGAGTCTCTGAGAGTATCTTGGTCCGGGCAGTAGATAGGCATGTGCTGCTTGTTATACAGCATCCTGTGTGATACTGGCCTGTGATAGTTCTGGCGCACACAGTTTTTAGCGGTTGCGTGCCTTTTTATGTATGTGTTCTTAATGCACATACAGAATGGCAGCTCCTAAAACAGTATATAAAGACGGCTATTTAAATTCTTCTTGTGTTTACTGTGGGTCCAGATTGCTTCCCTGTTTCCTTATCACAAAAATCACTGTAGAAGGGCCCACTCGTGTCCCCATTGTGTGAGTCGGCATCACTCAGAGCATCCTGAGACGTGGTCCAGGCATCCCTGCCGTCAGGGCTGGGGGCAGAGCAGCAATAGGGCAGGCGCTGGACCTGGCATTCCCTTTTTCCCTTGATTTTTGAGGGGGTCTTTCTGTTTCTCTTTCTTTTTTTTTCAGCTTTATTGAGGTGTAATTGACAAATAAAATGGTAATATATTTAAAGCAGACACTGTGATGGTTTGATATATGTGTACAGTGTGAAAGGACTCCCACAGTTGAGTTAATACATCCGTCACCTCACATCACCTTTTTTTTTTTTTTTTGGTGAGACCGCTTCTGTCCTGCAGTCAGCGGACTCAGTTGTACGATCCAGGACTGTCAACTACCGTCACCAGGTCACCATGCTCCATGTGAGAGCTCTCTCTCCTCCCACTTTCTAGCTGATGACCAAACACCCCGGCAAGCGGCTGGGCTGCGGGCCCGAGGGAGAGCGGGACGTGCGGGAACATACCTTCTTCCGGAGGATCGACTGGGAGAAGCTGGAGAACAGGGAGGTCCAGCCGCCCTTCAAGCCCAAAGTGGTGAGTCGGGCCTGCGGCCGTTTCCTGAGCCCTGTTTCCCCCGATCCCGGGGGCTTTGTCGGCAGAGAGGAGGCTGCTGACCGCCGGCCTCTGCAGGCCGCAGCCTGGCCCTGACGCGCGAGGTCTGAGCTGACCTTGAGCGTCAGGGGAGCCTGTGGCACCCGTGCCCCACAGAAGGCAGCAGAGGTCCCCCGGACGACGCGAGGACCAGGGCAGGTCGGCTTCGGGGCCCGGGCCTTGTGCGCCCCATATGGCTGTCGTCCTTGCGTTGAGTCCTCGGCAGGACCCCTGTCCGCTGCAGCTCTCCTGGCTTGGCCTCGCCCGATGGGAGCCCTGCAGCGTAACCGGGTCTCAGCTGGCCCCCCAGCGGCCCGGGCGAGGTTCCCACGCCGGCCAGCCCTGCCGCAAGGGCTGTGTGCCCGCTGTCATCGCTGGCACTGCTGCCTTTGTTCAGACGCATCCTGTCTGACTCCCTGGAGACTCCCATTTGTTAGGGTTTTTTTTTTTTTTTTTTTTTTTTTTTTTTTTTTTTGGCAATATTTGGCAAACGCTACACCCCAGGCCCTCCCTGCTCTCAGTGCTTTACAAATTCGTTCATTTAGCCCTCACAGCGACCCTGTGAGGTGGCTACAGTTGTCCCCAGTTTACAGTTGAGAACCCTGCGGCACAGAGAGGCTGAGTCACTTGCTGGAGGACACACAGCCGGTGGGTGGTGGAACCAGGGTGCAGACTTTGGTGTTGTGGCCCGGGATCCTTTCCCCATTGCACAGTGGCTCGGCTTCACGTTTATGCCTCTGGAGATAAACCAAGAGTCTGTAAGACGTCTGCCCCCTCGCTCACCCCACCTGTGGCCCTGCCGTGCCTCCCAGGCAGTTCCGCTTTGCCCCGCACCCCGTTTCTGAGGGCCGGGTGGATCCATGCCGTCCGGCTCCGCCCCGGCTCCGCCAGGATGGGGTGGGCTCCCGAGAGCACCGGGTAGTAGCTTTGCACCACAGTCGGCTTCATAAGCATCCCCGGTGGTGACGCGGCCCAAATCTGTCTCGTCTGACAGGTGCCCCGTGAGCTGGCCAAGGGGCTGGGCGGCTCAGGGCTTTATTCTTAGAGCGGCAACTTTCTCATCCAATATGCTTATGTGGCCTCTCCTCCAAGAATAAAACTGCTGGTGGCGAGCCCACGGATTTTATTTTTCCAAGACACTTTTAGCACAAACTGAAGAAAACCTAAAATGAATCGGGTCAGTTGACTTCCTCCTGAGCTGGCGTTTCAATGAGGGGCCCTTATGTCTCCGCTGCGCCATCTTCTCTGCAGCCAGTTCTGGGCACTGAGTCGGGAGGCTCTCCTAGGAGAGGATGCCGGCCCTCCAGGTTACAAAACCTGGTTTTAAGAGGGAGGAAGATGAAGACCGTGATAAATGGCGCTGCCGGCGGTCTCAGAGGAATATTGTTAGGGATTTTCTTTCTTCCCTTTCATATCTCTTTAGCCTTCTTAAGTATGAAAGGTATACAGTAGCAGCCTACACACAGCTTAGTTTCTGTACAGGAACAACGTAGAGACGCACGCTGACCCTGCTCTGCCTGTCGAGCAAAACGCGCCTACTTGTCAGTCACGTTGCAGAAGGAGACGCCATGCAGCGAAGTCAGCCATGATGGACCCACCTTCCTTTTCTGTTTATTCCCACCTCACTGGCAGAAGTTGTGTCTTCGCATAGCTTCCCACCTGTGGCAACGGTGGCCCTGAACTCAGATGGGGGGAAGCCAGAGGGCCCTTGGCTCCGACAGCCAAGAATGCACTGTTCCCCGTGGGCCACAGAACTCACTGGACCGCGTGGTCACAGCCCGGGGCAGGCAGTTGAGCCGGGAGCCGGGTCTGGGGCGGGCAGTGTATTTATTTATTCCTGGAACGCTGCTGCTGTCTGGTCATTGTTCAACCGAGTGCTGGTTACATTTTTAAAAAAGAATAAACTGCCTCTGGCTGTGAAGAAACAGGCCCCGAACTCACCAACAGACGTGGAAATCATGGACCAAGGCCCTAAAATGGACGGATTCGTGCCAAGGGCCTGTCTGGTGAGAGCTCATCTGCTCGCAGTGAGACGGCCCAGGCAGAAACCCACGTTGTGCTGGGGAGTCTGGACACAGAAAAGGACGAAGCTGGGAGAAAATGCAGGACAGGGGATGGGAGAGGCGGGAAGCGGAAACCACGGTGGGTGCGAGCGGCCACGGGAACAAGCAGCAGACTTTTTGTCCGAAAGCAGAAGAGC